CATCAACGTTTTTCCAAAGTAAAAGTCCTGTTTGATTTTCCACTGTGGCAGAGCAGCTTTCAATTAAGTAAGAGGCAATAGTTGTAGTTATAAGCCAAATTAAAACAGTAATTATAGTGATGATGCATACAGTACAGTTTCTATTGTCAATATCCTATGTCAAGTAAAGGTCCTCTGTTTAATTTATCCCCTATTGAAGAGATGTCCACATACAGTAAACTTGTTTTAGTAAAAAATAGTTATGGTCTAAATAAATACATTATTTAAACAGTAATTATTAAATCAGTCGTGGCAGTAGTACATGTACTATCATAATTCAAAGTAAATAATTCACAATAAAATCCTATTATGTGTAATATTTATTTATCATGATGTTATAATATATTATATTATCGTAAATGAAGTAAATGTTCTTCCTAATGCATAAATATATACTATACATCGACGTTTACCTGGAAATTCAATCAGTATTATATCTCTGCAGGATAAAATAAATGGTTCAAGGGAAAAAAATGATCAATTTCAGCCCTCAAAAATTATTTATAACAATACACAATTAGATATATATATATATATATATATATATATATATATATATATATATATATATATATATATATATATATATATATATATATATATATATATATTATACATAAAACACCCAATTTATGCTAAATTATTTCAACCCAACATTGGGACAAGGCCAAGAGATTTTTAAAAATTTAATTTGTTTAATTTTAATACAATACCCCAACGTTTGGTGAAAACATCCCAGCATTTTTAGAGTTATGCATGCATATTATAAAATAATAATGATAATAATAATAATAAAGCAAGAGTAAAATGTGTAATTCCAAGCCTCTATCCTGTCAATATTATCATAATTGATGATCTACTCTCTCACTGAAGGACATTTTAGCTGTCGTCTTCTGTAAATCATGCTTGAATGGAAAATTGAAAAAATTTGGCGGGAAATATGGCTTTAGTTTCAATCTATATATTCTGTCTTTGACGCATATACCATATTGTATTCTTTTATTACATAATCTCAATGTAATGCTGGGTTGAAAACCAAAATAATACTAATAATAATAATGCTATTAAAAGCTAGTCACAATAATGCAAGCCTCGTTTCCTGTCAATATTATCTTATATGAAATGTATAACCATTCATGTATTGACAGATCTAAGGACATATTACCAAACGGTAAGTCATCGTCGGTAAACTTCCTGCTGTGGAGCGGCGTTGAGTAACAATCCCCCGGACGCGTCTCTGGAGCTGCTTTCTGCTGATTTACGCGCTTTGCGTTTTCATCTCGACATCGTTCGTCAGAGAGCCGGAGGTTTGCCAGGAACACAACCTTCCTCAGCCTGTCCTCC